CTCTCCAGAAGATAATCAAAATTAAATACAAAGTCCTTCTTAGAAAGGTATAAAGTTTCATAAGAAAAGTTTATAAATCCGAGTATTAGAAAAGCATAAATTTTTATAACCCTGGATAATGCTAAAGAGTTTTATTTAAAGGAAATACATAAGATTTTCATAAATATTTTGCTTCCAAAATTTCCACTTGAGGAAGGGTTCTATGGGCTCTACTTCCCTTTGGTTATGTTTCAATATCATCTCAAAGGAGAAAATTTTGCTAATCGAAATAATATATAGGGAGTAGGTCTATGCAGTACGAGCGTTGAATAACTGTGGGCCCAAATTTTTTATGTTAGATACACTAACTTTATCTCGAACTAGGATTTTACCTAACTGCTTTTTACTATTGCAACCTATAACTAAATGTAAGATTTAAATTGCCTAAAGTCTGCTTTAGCAAATGCCAAAATTTTCTAGGTTGGGCCCCAATATTCGACTGCTACTGCAAGTCCACGACTCCCAACTTCTGCAGGAACCGCTCAGATTCTTTTAGATTATCATATATTGCTTTAATTTCGAAAAGTTTTTCGCATTTTAGTAAATCTTTAGTGGCTTGTTGTAAAGTTTCCATGGGAAAATGATTGCATAGAACGCACGCCATTAAAAAGGTGTTGATGTTTTTAGCCAACTTCAGTCCACCCTTTTACAAACAATAGTGTTTCTCGTCAAGTTAGATGTACTTTTAAGACTATTTACATCCACTCTTGTAAAAACGTTTAACAAAAATTTTTTTGTGGTCCTGCTGGAGCAGACGACATATTACCCACCAGAATTTCCAGGTAATTATTCGATTTTTTCCGATGAAATATAAAACGTAAAAAAAAATACTGTTAGTAAACTTAAGGACTAAAGTGTAAAGAGAGATAGAAAAGCTACCTGCCAATACAACTACTAATAACAGAGTTTAATTCAAATGTTACATTCTTGACTTCACTGGCCTGAAGTTTCAACAACTAGTTGATAACTTTGAGATGCCTAGCAACACAGTGTGCTCGATCTGAGATCAGGGGGAAATTTATACGGCGGTTACATCTACTATTTGCTCTCCTGTTAAGTTTGTATACGCTAATTTTTTTTGTGTATCTAAGTCAGTCTTGAAAACTGTTACAGTAATCTTATACTTGACGGGTTCTTATTTCGACTATGTAACGCGACCGCACCCATTAAACTTAAAACTGTACGTTGCATAATATGAGATTACGCCTACTTCGAGGGGGTCGCCGCAAGTGCATCCCGCTTTAATTTTTCACGTAGCCTTTAAGCTGTTCGCAACTTGTTAAGTTTTTGTTAAATAATTAATAATCTATTAACTAAACGATTCAAAATAATAATTAAAAAATCGCTTGCTCAAGAAAAAGAAGCAAAACGAGATAGATGAAATTTATTGAGCTTCACGAGATATTATATTAGTATTGCGTTTGACTGAGGACACAAGATTCATTATCACTATGAAAGTTTTATGGTAGCAATTATTGTTCTAGGGTAGTTATTATCTAAGAGAACGCTTTTTAGCTTTTTTAAAAATTTACTAAAAATGTCGTCTCTTTTACCATTTTAACGTTTAACTCTGACTTTCCTTTCTTTACAAAGAATATTCTTATGAAGGCGTGCTATAAACAAATCTTTAATGATTTTTCTTTGACTGCTTAATTAGAATTATAGGAATGTTGCACTCACCTTAATATTAATAGATAAGTATGACTTTTTTAAATTACAATTTACATAGGAGTTTCAGAATATTGTGATCAATGCTTTTAGTTTTTCTTATCCATATTTAGCTTTTGATTTGACATAAAAATGAATTAGTAAGTAAAAAAAATTTGTACACAAAAGTTTTAATTCGACACGACTTTCGTTTGAGGTAGTCTCTGGCCCCGCTTTCGTAGACTCCATTTTTTAAGATCTATAGCTTTAGGTATTAGCAATAATAAGCTAATTGGTTGATAATTCGCACCTGCTACCGCTACCTTTTGTAGAAACCCCAATGATGATTAATTATCTTTTCATGTAACTCTGCCTCTCAACTTATAAAATGTTATATAAAAATTTACTTCCTAGAGCATACCATTTTAGCTTACAGAGTAAAAAATGATAAGTAATCTATTTTAAAGCTGCTAAGTTTATAACTTCAGCTGATCTCTGCTAAAAGTTTAAAACGGGTTATAAAAAATCGGTAGGACCTTATCTGAGCTATTACAGTATGCGCCCCCACTAAAATTTCGCACAACAGCAAATATTAAGACACTGGGGAGCATAAGGTTCTCTTACGGTAATAACCGCCCAAAGATGAACTAATGAGTTAAAATAGAAAATAAGAAAAAAAACAAAAGTAATATAATCTTTGAGCAAAATAGTTAACAGAATTAAGATTTTAGAACAAGAGTGAAGCTAACGCTCAACAGTATCAAAGCTGTGCACAGTTGGAAATAGAACTTAAGAAAAGACCCTAAAATAAAAACACAAATTAGAAATTGAGTATTGAAGCAAAGTAAGAGGAGCACATGCTAGATCTTAGCATCTACTTCTCTCGTCACCTTAAAACTATATATTATTTCAGAATTATTACTCAAACTATTTATAGCATTCTATTCACAATTTATTGCATTAATAGTGAAGAATAAAGTTAAAATAAAATATAATAATTACTTTAACTGCTATAAAATATTCATTGGATGAAGAAAATTTTTTATTAAAATCTTAATTTAAGAAAAATTGAAAAAAATAAGTCGATGTAATGCAGCGATAGTTTTTTTTAAATTAATTAAGTTAACTGTACAGCATTGATTTTTAGCTTGTTACTTATTATAAGTCATAAACAATGGTTTATACGCTCCAAAGCAAAATTGAGGTCTAAAATTAACAAGTTTATTATCTTTACTGTTATATTATTTGCTATCATTACCGCGTAACTTTTAGAAGGGTAGAGCTTATTACTCCTTGTTACGAGCCAAAGTGCATTTAATATGTAGCACTGTATACAAAACTAACAGTGAGGACAGAAGACTTTATGCCGCCAAATATAGCAATGTCATTGGCATGGAGAGCAAAATGCTTGTGTTAAAAAAGCTTTCGGTAAATTCAGCATTGATTTGTTTAGCATATAATAGCTTGTTCTTTCATTAACTAATGCAGATGCTTGATTAGTCGAGCGCCGGCTGCATGGCCTGACTTGGGGACCGTACCACGGCAGCGAAGTATTGCGAGGAAGCGAAGGCGTGTTGAGTCTCGGGCCCGTACTTTCGTCATTGAGCTTGGGGTGACGAGCAATCTGGCAGCAGGCTAGTGAGGGCGATACTTATATTATAGAGTTACTCACTTACTATATTTTATTTAGTTGTTGCATCCCAGGTTTCATATTTACCTTGTTTTACATCTGTACATGTGGTCGATACTTCAGCCGCTATTTCCTTGAAGTTTTCGTCAGTACCACCAGGAGGCTGCCCCAAGTACTTGACTGAGGCCTCTTAAAGACACCTGTTAGTATTGCTGCTAACCCGGTCCCCATGTTAGTAAGCACAAGCGTTTGATAATTTGTATTATTTGACTTCCAAATTCTGTCCGCTACCTTCTAGAGTTTAAATACTTTGGCCGCTGTTTTTAATTTTATAACAAGTTTTTAACAAGGCACAGAATCCTTTACATAATTTAATTTGTTTTTTATTATTACCTAATATACTACAACCAGGCCCTAATTAAAAGAGAGTCCAATATACTTACTCTTATCTAAATGGGCACAACTGCCCACCCGATATATACTGGGCCCAACCTTCGCAAAAAAAAACCACCTCCGGTGAGGCGGTCTCAGGTACAAAACCCGAGGCCTTATGGAGATTCCAGTCAGCGCCAATGCCAGCCAGGCCACCCCTTTACTTTCTTTGTTTATTATATTCATTTGTTGGCCGTTAAATTATTTTTTAATTTTTTAAAAATTTTGTATTTATTTCGTTTACGATGTTATTAGACACTCTGGTAACATTGTTCATTAATTTAAAAGCTGCTTTATTGCCGTCATATATATTATATATATTATATATAGAATTTTTTTTTACTATGAAAATTAACTACACCTGTTTCCATTCTCGTAAAAGTGCGAGTGGCTGAAGCAAAAGTTATTTGCTTAGTGACAGCTATAATTATCGATTCTAAATTCGGTAAAACTTTGTACTTTTGTGAACTATATTATACCTTTAAAATAAAGGAGTCGAATATAATGTTGGAAAATAAACGCTAGTGTATTTTTAATTGCAATACTTGTTGTCTCTTTATTAAATGTTTATAAGGGTGAGAGAACTGCTCATAACCCGAAAATTGTCTGAAGGTCTAAGAATTACTAGTTTAAATCCTAAAATGATCTGCAAATATCTTATAGCATTAAACTTTATAAAACTAAAGTTGTCTACATGGATCGCAACAATTTATGAAGTTAAGGGTACCACTTACTAATAATTCCCTTGCGGTTGTACTCTAAATATTCTAAAACTTTGTCTATTCCCAATGTTTTAATAAATACCGAAGGAGCTCAAAGGTATAGTAAAGACAATTCTTTTTAACTAGTAACACACAACACTAAAGTAAAGCTCTTTATTTGTAAAGAAAATTAGAAAAATTGGTCTTCTGATGATAAAACTGCTCTGTGGCGCCAGCAAGGAGTTTTAGTATAAAAGACCCTCCTATATGTAACTAGGGAAGCAGGCGGCACACCTTAGCAGCGAGGGGAGGGCAGCAAAAAGTCTCTCCATGTCTAAGTCTCCTCCCGTCGCAGAGTCAATATAATAACCTTTCAGAAAGACAGTGGCGGGATAACGACCTTCAACTGGTCAGGGGGGTGGTTGGCCCGATGATGGTCACAGCGTCCTCGGATTCAGCAACAGCAATTTCAGGTAAGGCAGGGGGTTGTCGATTGTTGAAAGGTTGGCCTCGAGAACAAACCGGGAACTTTACCTTAGTATAATTCAGTCGGACGTTTGTCGGTCGTGGTGAAGGGAGATGGTCCAACCTTACGCTGGTCATAGCTCAAGCTTAAGCGGAGTTTTTAGAGTTGAAGGTAAGCTTACTACTGTTAGGCCTCTTATTAACTTATAATGTGTTCAGTGATAGGAAAAAGCACGTTTATATTTCGTTAACATTGTAAATTTGTTATTTATATTTTAGTTTTCGTACTTATCACAAGAGCGCGTAACCAGCATGGGTTGAAGCATGGTCTCTATGATAAGTATAGGTTTGGTATAAGTTTAAATTCGAAGACTTTGTCAATAATTGTTTTTCTAGACAATATTGTACTCGAAGACTTCGCCGCTTACGCGTAGCTTTGAAACTTAGATGTGGAAAAAAGAAGTTTATTTTTAAAAATCTTTCAGTTGAAAAGTTTACAGATAATAACCGCTTAATATAATTTTGTTATTAATTTCTAAGTTTATATTAGTAGTGACTCTAGATATTTGGAAGTTCTTCTCCTCGAAGTGGAGAGATGCTGGTCCTATGGCATGCAACTAAAGCAAAATGTTGAAAGATATCCAAGAAAAAAGTAAATTTAATTTTAAATATCTAAACTACTAAAAGCTCAGTTTTTACGGGTTAAGGCCTTTCTATTGTGCTGTTTTCTTTATTGTACATAGAAAGTTTCTATTAAGGAAAAGATTACCTTTAGGAGCAACCCTAACTTCTAACTTGGCCTTTTTATATTAGTAATCCTTAAACAAAAAAATTGTGCAAATAGTTATACCATATAGTTATTGTTATTTTTCTAACTTGCTGCCTTTGCCAGCTATATGTCTTCCCTACGCTCATTTTCTTGACGAGACCTAACAAGAGTTCTGGTGTAGGTTAAGTTTTCCACAGAGTTGAATTTTACACTTCAGTCCAGTACTATTTTGCCTTAAGATTTCTGAGAGCAAATAATATTTTTTACTCACAAATAATATTTATTTGCAATAAGGTAAACTAGTCTACTTAATAAATATTAAAAGTCAGCAGTTGCACTTTCTCTATAGTTAACTCACAGACTTTTGTGGATGACGTATTTATTATTATATATGCTTTATCTTTAATAAATATTATTTCTTATGAAAACGCAAATAGTTGAACTGTTTCTTTTTAGTCTTAATAAAAGTTGTCTACTTCTAATTAAATTTTACTATAACCATTTTTAAGGTGAGTTAGTTTTGTGTTTGCACTCAACTAACAAGGGATGATCGCGCCGCAATAAAGCTTAAGGCGTGGTAAATTGTTTATTAACTTCACATGAAACATGAATGCTGTAATAATTATTATTTATTTATACTGTTGGATATGGCACGATCATCTGCCCGAAGCTTATAATTTCTTGTTTTGCATTAGATAAGAAAATTACGTGTTACAAAGCTTGATCAATTTATTAAGATGGGTTTCTAGGCTAGACAGAAATGAAAGACGAATTTAACTTCATTAGTGGAACATGTCGTAACGTGCTACGTAAAACAAGGCCTGTTCTTATTAGGCACCTAAATTTAGAAAATTCACTTCAGTTTTTAATTTTTAATAACCTTGTTGAAATTAGTAATATAAGAGAACATATTAACTGATACTAGTAAGGCATGCTAATTTTACTGTCTCCTTACTTTTTGTTACTTACAAAGTTAATATGTACGTTGGAATGCATTGCTTTCTCCTTTCATTAAATTTTATTGTTACTCGGTCTTTATTGTGTTAAAGTATTTTATTTTTTTCTTACTTTTTAAAATCCAGATTCCATATGATAAGAAAATTTCGCAAATGTTACAAGTATTGCCAACTTCTTCTTGACTGCTCTTCTATGGGTTGGTGCGACGCTCTCACTGCTCAAGAAATAAAAGTATTATTATGTTAAAAACACAAGATATATACGCGAATAGGGAAAATGATAACTACCTTGTTCCTGAAGCGTTTTTTCTTGGGATTATTTTAATATGTATTATAATTTTTTGGGGTAGTTTCATAAAATTTGCTTTATTTTAAAAAAGCAAGTGGTCACCTTTTAGAGTTTACCTTTAGCCTTTGAACTTAATGACTTTAATGAAAATTTACTGGAATTTTATGTTTTCCATCAACAAATTTAATAACGTGTATTGTTCGTTTTCTATCCTACAAAAATTTTATTTAATTTCACGTTTTCTAAATTTTATATATTAGTATTCATATTTAGTACTTGATTGTATGCTTGAGTTCGTTAACTACTTAGACTCTATTAAAATTAAATAAAATTTATATGATAATACTAAATTCTGTGCTTTCATTTCTATTTTTAAAATAATTACGAATAGTATATAATATTATTCTTTTTAAAAACGACTTTACTTATTTGTTACCTTTTTTATATATTTTCCAATTTAAAGTTTATCAAAACTGTTTTGCATTAATTACTTTGCTAAGTTTTTATATTTTTAATTGTTAAACAGTGTACTTAATTTAATTGGCTTAATAATTTATTAGCTTATAATTTATATGATTTAAACTACGTATACTCTTCACAAGCCGTTGTTATGCTATGTAAAACCTTTTCAAGCTATTTTATTTTTCTAGGCGTATACAGCTACACTTTGTGGCTCCTCTCTTTTTGAGCAAGCTGACTACTCAGAGGCTCTTACACTTTTCTCATCTGCAAAGTTTGTTCTTCACTTTTTTATACATTCATCTTTAATTAATAGTAGTGAACTATAATATAAGCGACATTTTGCATTATTTTTTATACTATTCAATCTGTAGCGTTTTCAGTGTTTGTTTATTATAATAAAGGAGCTTTAACTACATTACAATACTTTCAGCTTTCCTTAAAAAAATAATAAAAAGTTTACCTTTGAGATTTCGTTTTAAGTAGTTCCCTTTTTTTAATTTTTTATGTTACACCTTTGGATTAAAGTTTTTTATTTCTATTTAAAAGATTATATTTAGTGGTTTATGAAGTATTTCTATGAATGAAAAGTGAACCCTATTTTTAACCTTTAAAAAAAGGCTATATTTTTTCGTTTAGTATATGAAATTTTTCTCTTCAGCTTTAAATCACTTGTAAACATGTTAACATATTCAAGTCACTTTAGTGATTAAAAAGAATTAGAAGAAAACATAATATGTGAAAATTAAATATTATATTTATTTAAGTTATTTTTAATGTTTGAACTTTTTTAATGATTTTGGAAGTTGTTATATACATATTATAATGTAAATTTTTTTGTAAAATTATGTAATTTCTAAGGATTTTATTAGTAAAGCGAGTAATTTTAAATTAGTGCTAAAATTACTTATTTTTAAAGCGATTATTTTTAGGTTAAGTAGTTATAGTTCCGTTTCATAAATTATATTTTATTTTTACAGAATTATTTATGGATTTTTTTTTAATTCTGAAACGTCTTTTTATTATAATTTTTCTTTATTACAGATCCATTTGTGATTAGAGAAAGTATATTGGTGCATTGCTTAATATTTTTTTAACAACAATTTCTAACTTTTTTAAAACATACTTGAACGTTTTATGTACTTTTGGACTTATTATCAAGTAAAAAATTTTAAATACAAAGTTTTGCCGTCTTTTGTATTATAATAATATTAAGTGCCTTGATATTGGGGCCCTCTTTGTAATGTATTTGTAAGCCCTAATAGTAAAGTTTTTATAAGCGCCATCAACCAAGTTTTATTATAAATATGAGATGAAATTCATTTTAAGCAGCTTTCCTAAAGTATATATTAACTTTAGCATTTTATTTATTTAACAAATACAAAAAATTAACTGATTTCTGTTGAAAGTAAATCTTTATATTATTTATATTAACTAGAGCTTTTTATAAAAACAAAATTAATATTATAAAATTTTAAAGTGAATATTATTTAAAGTGAAATTTTATTCTTTAATTTTCTGCGACTTTTTTATTTGTTTAACTGTTCCAGAGCGGAGTACGACCAGCTCGTCTTGGCCAATCCTTCTCAGAAGGAACTTTACGCTTCCAGTATTCTTGCTTTTTGGGTCTTTTTTCATTGAGTGATATATAACTGATATTTTAATTTGTGTACATTTTTATTTTTTTAAACAACAATTATTGATTGCATATTTTTTTATTATTAAATTAAATACTTTATTAATACAAAGAACACATCTTTCTAGAGTTATATTTTATGTATACTTTAAATTTTTTACTTTCTACTTTTATAACAAATTTTACTATTTTGGTTTTTTATTTACTTAATAAACTCTTCTATATTAAGAAATACATCTTTTATGAACCTATTTACAGTTATAAGCTATTAACTTTTTAATTATAAGCACACCTCGTACGGGTTTTTTTATTATATACTCTAATTTTTTAGAACTATAAAATTAATAATTTTAACTTATTATTACTGTATTTATACTTTACCCATCTCATCTACAAGTTTTTAGAGTAGCTTTTTTTTATAGAATCTGATTTCTTTTAGGTATATATTATATATTATAATTTCTTGTTATTTTTTATATTACCCCTTCTCAATTATAATTTTTTTGTAATAAAATATAAAATTTACTTTTAATTTCTACAGCCGAAGTTTCGCTACGCCGCCATGGTTACTGGTTCTTCGCTTCCAGAACTCCCTTCAGTAGAACTGAATTCCTTTTATTTAAAAATCGAAGTAATATATAAAATGAAAAAGTATTTATTAAAGGACTAATACCAAACACGTTGATGTAAAAATTACAAGAAAGTTATTTAAATTAGTATTTTTAAAAATAATTCAATAACTTAAAACTTATAGCTGTCACTAGTTTTTATTTTTAATAACACTAATATATTTATATAATAATATTATTTTATTATTATTATTATTATTATTATCACGCTTTATACTATTGTTGGCATTTATATTACATTATAGTTTCTGCCACTTTCCAGTATTTGTATTATTTATAATATGATGAATAAATATCTATAAATCTTTTTTATATTATTAATAAAAGATTTTTACTATTAAAACGTAGAAGTTATTTTCTTTCTTTTTATAATAGAAATTTAAAAATTTTATAACATTTATAAGATTTTATAGTAATAAAAAAATGGGAAAAAGTGCTTTACTATAGTAATTAAAAAAAGAGTTTCGGAAATTATTATTAAATTATAATATTGATTAATTATTAATTAAAGTTGTAACATATAATACTTTTTAGTTTGGTAGATTATTTTTCTGAAAAAACTATTTTTTAGGTAGAGGATTTATTTCTTTTATTATAAATTATGAAACTTTGGAAATTTATAAAGTTATCTGTTTTTAATATTCCTAATAATTATTATTTAAAACATTTTACTTCTGGTTATTACGTTAAAAATTCTTTAGAGTATTGCAGAAGGGACTTCAGATATCAACCTCAACGCGCTGAAGGAGATCGACTGGCAGAAAATTGATTTTGAAAATCACACTGACAATCTCCCTTTCTTTACTGAACGGCTTAAAGTTTTTTTTTTTCTATATTACTCTCACTTTGTCAACTTTTTTTTTAAGCTATTGGAATCAGACTTTTTCCATATAAATTTTTAATAAAAAAATAGTTAATTTCAGATTGCAGTATAATAACTTTTTCTTATTTAACTTCCTTTTCAAATTGTTAAAGTGTTATTATTATTATGTAGTTATAACTTTTTAGATTCAAGTATTGATTAAATCAAAACAATTATAAGTTCCTTTTTTTTAATTTGAATATAAATTCTTGTATACAATGAATAATGAAATAAATTTTATATAAATGAATTATTGTTTTTGCTTCCAAAGAATTATTGGTTTGTTACAGTAAATTAAATAATATAAAAATAATAAAGCTGACTTTTCTTAATGATTATTACATTTGAACAAATTTGTTTTTAATGTTTGATTTTTATTTGAGTGAAGTAGTGAAATTCTAAAAGTTAATTACTTTATTTTGAATTTCATATCTAATAGAAGAAAAATTTGTTTTCTTTTCTTTAACGTTCTATAGATTTTTTATAATTTTAATTAAGTAGAGTACAGTATTTGTTATTCTTCTATACACAGACACTTAAAGAGTTGCATCTCCTGGAAATGTCGGACATCGAACTGAAGGAGGAGCTCGCCGTCCACACGTGCTTAGCATCAAGCTACCGGTTCTTGTGAATAAATCTACTACTAAAAACCTGAAACCTCATAATACTACCTCGTGGTCGTTGCTCTAGTCAATTTTTTATTGGATCTAAGCTGGAACATGAGAAAAACTTTGCACTAGCCAATGGCTTGTACCAAAAAGCCATTGAATCGGCCGAGAACGGTTTACTATTGGCTCGTAGCTTTAACCAGCACAACGTCTCAATTTTAAGGCATCTTTAGAGAATTTTGTTATTGTTGACATCTACTTCTCGTAGCCTACTTATTCCGCTGCTTTATACGAGCTTTTAAAGAACTCCAAGAAAAGAAAATGTACAGTAAAGGCTCGATCATACTTATCTAGGAAAGAACTTTATGTATTTTTTCCTTTTTAATTGACTTGTAATTAGCGAATAACTTTTTTCTGTATTTTAATTTTTTCAGAAAAAAAGCCCCCTCGCAGAAAATCTTGACGAGTTTCATGATATTTGTTTACAAGCCAGCCGGGCCCCTTTTGTAGATATCGTGGGGCCTATGCAGGTTTTACCGCTGAAGCCGTACTTTTACGATCTCGCTGGTCTGCAGGTAGCTAATGGGTGAGGTTGAAAAATACCAACACTAAATTTTTTTGTAAGATTTCTCTTGAAGACGACTTAAGTTCTCTTGAAAACCAAAACAAGGAAAGTTTCGTGTCGAGATTTTTAAATTGGAGACTAATAAATTCTTGATCGTCTTAGTAATAAAGATATTGAATAATAAACCTTTTATTCGGCGCGTCTATACAAGCATTTGTGCCGAGGGTATACTTATGAAATGCTGTAGCTTTATAAATTTACAAGTAGCAAACAGCTTTATAACCTTTGAATGATGTTTTTATTAAGTTTCACATGCAAACCTTTACCGCTTTGAGGGTTTACTGCTAGGAATTAGTGGGCTCAGGTTGTTTAACTACAATTTGCCAACCTTTACTATTTGAGCAGTTCAAAAAACAATATTAAATTTAGCACCATAAGATGAGCAGTGCCTGTGTAAACTACTGTAGAATTCCTCCACTAGAAGAGAATTAAAAAAATCTAATGTCCGACTTTTTACAACTTTAGTAATAAGTAAGATTTTCGCACACGCACCCCGCCCCCGCATGGAGAGACAGACTGGAAAGAAGTAGAGCCTAAGAGAGCTGCTGCGAAAGTAAGGGATATTTAGTAGTTAGATGTATATGCAAAAAATGTGACCTAAAGAGACGCATGGTTAGTCACGTGCTATAAATATATATGCACTTAACGTGCCACGTGGTTTTGATGTTAGCTAACAATTGTTATTTCCATTTATAGGTTGGTTACTTGCTAGTTATTTTTAACATTAAGACAACTAAATACTGCTCTCAAAAAAATAAATTTACAGACAAACATCCAACTTTAATTGGAAAAATTACTCTAATTGATTAGAAGCTTAATTTTCTATAGTGACCTTAGTAAAAAGTAACTGCTCAGTATGGCTTATTTTACTTGAGCGACTCAGAGCCTTTCTGCGCTTCATCACGAGCTTAGGCATAAGAAATTATTATACTGCTACATCTGACAACAGATTTGGTTAAAAAGACGTCATTTCTTTAAAAGAGCTATGTTCTCTAAATGGAATACTTATATTAATGTAATAAGTTATAAAATACGCATGTTTGCGCAGTAAAACTCATGTTATAGCACGATTTCTTTTTGTTGGATAATGCCCACTAATAAGCGATATTGTCCTGTATCACCACTGATTTGCAACTTTTAGCTAGTGCGGTTTTATTTTGTTTTTTTTTTTGCGAACTAGATATTACCAGCTTAAGCCTCTAAAGGATAAAAAGTGAACAATATATTTGCTGGTACAAGTTTTTTTATTAGCAAAATTGTCTCATACAGGTCTATCAGTATTAAATTAAAAAATTAGTAAATTAGTTAGTTTTAGTTCTTAATTATTCAACGCACTAATGTTCTAACACCCTCAAGAGTTTTTTTCAAAATTGAAATACCTAATTTTTGCTTTTCATTAAATAGACTTAGTGTTTAGACTTCTTCCTAATCTGTTTAATATAAAAATATACTACTTAATCTTTCCTTTAAGAGAATGAACTCCTGAGTAAACCTGCCCTTTGGTCCTATACACTGTGCTCGAACGCTTTCTAGACGGGTGACGTCGACTCACGCTTAATTAATATAAAACCAATCGATCCTATAGGCCTAGATCCCCAGAACACGCAAGAAAACTAAGGAGCTCAAGTGGGGCTATAATCTCTGGACTTATTTTTCAATGTCCTTCGCAATGCTTGATAAGTGCGAGCGCAAACCGCTTAGCGTTGCTTTGGGGCGCAAGTAGACGCCTCACATATCTCCTGGGGGTTAGCGGAAGATATTAGGCCCGTCACTTGGCTTACGGGGTTAAAAACCGCTAAATACACCACCAGCAGATGCTACCAATGATCTTCTTCTATCCCTCCTCCCAGCTAAATCAGAGAGCTGCATGTGCAGTCAATTAGTAATAAAGAAACCTTTAAACAAGAAAAATTAAAAGCACAAGGAAAATTTGTAACTTAAGATATGGACCCATAATAGACCATTTGTATCGAGGCAAAGCTTAACTTACGAAATGTGGCTCTGTAGTCAACTACGATTGACCCTTCTTCTTGCTGGGAGGTAATCAATTTATAACTCTTATTCTCCAACCAACCTTTTGGTACTAACTCTACTTAAGATAGTTATAGTACAATACAAAAAAGGTTTACTCATCTTACTGGGCTAATAAAGATCGCTCCCAGGGTCTAAAGTTTATAAACTTTTTTTTGGAGTTTAGAGGCCATAGTGTGTTTTGTAGTCGTGTTCTACATATTTAGCAGCCTTGTCCGCCAATAAATTTAATATTATTGGTTTCTTAAACTTCTCTTCCTCTTAGTTACTGTTTTAAATTTAAAGTTTTACAAATGAACGATCTTCAAATCTAGTTTTTGTTAGATTTACTCCAAACCAAGAAGTGAACGCCAAAGCTAAAGGGGAGGAAATCATTCATTGAAATATAGAGTTTTAACAGTTTAAATTGAATACTATAAGAAAAAATCTTTTATAAGCTTTAACTTCAGATTTATTTCGAGTGTGTGGACTATAAAGTAAATGTTCATTGCCTACTGAATATGTTATATCAAGTGCAAGCTTTGCTGTTGCCCTGACAACATTTCCAAATATAGCAGCATTTTTAGCCTACAATACAGTCATAATATTCTAGTATCAAACATAATTGATATATGAGCAAAGGACTAAATCAACCAAAGTATGTTAAAGATTTTGTATTTAGATTGTTACTATTTTCTTTTTTTTCAAAAATAGTGGGATCTTAAGGGGTATAGATAAGGAACTTGTTCACCTTTTAAATTGGTTGTTATTGACGTACCTTTTTTGAAATAAAACTTAGTTCTATTAATTTTAATTTTATATAACAGAAATATTATCTTAAGTTTTACTTAACCTAAACGCAATTATCTACTAATTTAGCACGCACAATACATACGCTTCACTACAATCAGTCAAAAAATTTTTTTTTACACAGTTCTGCTAAAGTAGTCAGTTAAATTTTTACCAATAAATTTTAATTTTTAAAAACCTTTCTAAAATCTACTTTTTAGAAAGCGTAAGGTAAACGAAGGGTACATATGTTTGGTACCTTTTATATGTAAACAAAAGAAAGATTTACCCTTTCTAACCTAGTGTTTAAACGTTGTTCTCATGTTACTGCGCGGGGGACCATCGCTATCTTCTCCTAAAGTTACAGCTGTTGGAAAAAATAGCATGCAAAATAGGAAGTTATTTTATTAAGTTTAATAAGTTGTTTACGAACTCAAAGAAATCATTTATTAACAGTTGCTATAATTGAAATTAAATATTTGCAGTAGAATATATGCAGCCCTGCATTTGAAAGTGTATTATCCGTTCAACTAATATCAAGTAAGAATCTATATAGAGCACCAAAAGTGTGAGGACCAATGTGTCTTTCTTAATGTATAATCAGCTCATTTCCTTCGCTCTTTGATGTAATTAAACATTATTATAGGTATCAATGAAAGCTCCCTTTAACCAGTTGAACGAGCAAACTATGTTTCAATAGTCGTGCTTCTTAGTTTTAATAGAAGCGCTATCTCTGTTGCTAGCATAAACTGGTACCATAATCAATAATCTTTTAATGCCAAAAGTGTATTTACTAATGGACTTTACATTTCCTTTAGGCGGCCGTCAAATTACTTCCAACCCGTTGTTCTACATATACGTTGACGGAAAAAAAAAACTGTAATTAAATAGCTTTAAACTATTAATATTATTATCAAATAGAGGGTTATACATATTTTATCTACTATAATATATAACGGCATATGACTTTTGCGAGTATCGCTAAAGATGAAAACTTTCACGTGCATTTTGACAAAAATTCATAGGTTGGTGGTGGAATTGGAGTGTCTTTTGCGGAAATACGGAAAGATAACTGGGTAATTTCGTAGGGTAAAGTTCTTTAAAAGTTTTCTATGCTGGCCAAAGTTGGCAGAAAATGCCTTTTTGTATGCTAGAACAAGTGTCTAAGTTAAGAATATCTGGTTTTCAAGCTTTGTTTTGCGTAATTACAACGTCTTGGCTATTTTTAATATCACTACATTTTCTTCAAAACAACTGTTTTAATTTTTTTCAGATTTCGCTATCTCTTTTTTGCGTTGTTAACATTATAATTTGTTTATGGGAAATTGCCCTATTTTTCTTCATTTCAGAGATTAACTCTGACTTTCAAATCTTAAGGAAAAAAGTACCTAAAAGAGGTTTTTTTCCCCTTTTTTTAAACAAACCGTCTTCTTTGTGTCAAATTTTTTCCGCTCGATATTGGTGCAAGATATGGTATATATGACTTCAGTTTCTAACTTAACAATATCAATTAGCTCTTCTATGTAGGTCGACGTACTCTTTGCTAGATCCCTCATACTCTGACTCACGCTCCTTTGGTTGGTGTATTGATATAGGGAACGGATTTACTACTATTATACCGACCTTTTACTTTGCATTAAGTAAACATTCTTAGATTTTTTTCCTACCCTCTACGTCTCGAAACCTTCAAATGTATCCTTTAACAGGAATGACTTTTCACCACAGTACTTTGACGTTAACGAAAATTAACGGTATCGTAGGCTTAATAACTTTTTATCAAATGCTCTATGGAGCCATTCTTTACTTTGTACAGGTGAATTATTTATAGATTTATTTATTCCTTTAAGTAATCGGATTGTTTAAGTATATGTATAACAGGCATTGGAAGCAACGAGACAATACCTTTATACAGATTTTTTTCTTCGTGGTGCTACCCAATTTATTTTGGATAATATTTCCTCTTTTAGGAGTTTATGCGAGCATTTATTTAATAATTGAAAGCAATTACACAATATTTATGTAAATAAAATAGTTTTCTATGTTTTTTATAAACAATTTTCTACGCGCTTAGCCCTCTGGTTAGTCCACAAATCAATTTTAAATTTAATAAGTCATAAAACTGCTCTAAATTTTTAAACGGCGTGTTACTAGGATACTACGTACGTTTAGGTTATAAATATAATTTAGTTTACTGTTATAGATGCTATTAGTGGTGCCAGAAGAGGCCACCACGAAAAAAAATATTAGTATTAGCGTTCGCAAAATATTACACTACGTATTATTAGATTTTGACTTTGCTATTATTTAAAGCTGGGAAAAAGTAATAAAAAATTCTTTCTGATTTTAATTTGGCTGGCGTTTATTTTCCTTTTTTTTTTTTTTTTTTTAAACATTAGGCCTGCTTTGTTCGTCTTCATCTTGTTATATAACTTTAACTCTGATATTTTTAAATGTGCACATGTAACACGAGAAACCATACCTTTTACAGCACTTATTTTTATCAATCCCAATATAAAAGTACGGCTAAGTTTTCTTATTTAACTAGCGATTAAGCAGGTTAGTTTTAACTCTTCCGTAAGCTTAGGACGAATATAACCATGGATCCAAACTTGGCACGTTTTCAGTTGGGGTTTGCTCGTCTCACTTTTGAAGTTTCTTAAATACGTTGGTTTAAAGTTGCAAATAAACTAAAACTTTTAATATGTCCTTTTATTGTTGTACGTTTTTTATATTTTCGAGGAGCCTACTTTAATTCCGTAAGCGAGTGCCCATAGAAAGGAGTGAACTTTTAAATTTTGATTTTTCGATTCTGCTTCCTTTACAAGCCGATTTATTTCGTCCATCAAATCAAATTTTGAAACCTATTTTTTCCATATAGAATTATAAATTTTTTATAGAGCAGAAAGGACAGAGCCTCCTTTATGAAACATATACGAATTTGAACACTATTGCTTATATAGCTGGAATGTAAGAGGATTATAGATATTGCAAACTAGACTTGTTTGTCTCTACAGAAGATTTAAAAACTTCCTTTTAAAAAGTTATATGGTGTGACCTCTTTGTGAACTAAAGATAGTAAAGGCCTCAGTAAATTTTTTAACGCATTAAGGCGAGGTTAAGAATAGTTATTTAATATTAAACGGTGAAGAACTTGTGCGCTTTTTTTAGGTGACCAGTATGTATTACAAATGATAGGTAGGCACATTAAACATATTAATAAAATTTTCTCAGGTCAGTATTGATTTTTGCTATTTTAAATTGCAATACCAGTATAGAAAAGTGAATTTCATGCTATGGCATTTATTCTTCTTTGTAAATATAGAGAGCCTTTTCTGATAGCTAAACAAAGCAATAAAATAAGCTTTAGGATCAACAGGATATATTCCCCAAACGACTCTACAAACTTATGGATTTGCGAACATCCCGTTATTTTTGAGATTCTAGACAGTTTACACGAAGTTTTGCTAAATTTTAATGAAGCTTTAATGACGCTAAAGGCTCAACAAATGAGGTAGGAATATACATAATTATGCATATTTCTTGCTAGCCAATGAACATACACCCCAAGAAAAATTGTGATCGTTGAGTTTTAAAAAAGACTAAAATAGAAAAAATTAATTTAGTTTTTTAAGAAGGGTGCGGTAGGACTAGTAAAGTTTACTCTCAAAGGTAAATACAAGTAAACAACAGATTGGTTACATAAGCAGGTATCATACTCAAAATTATATCATACAAAGATTGTAAAGTTCTTGTTTAAACAATATTAAAATAACTTTGATTAAGCATGCGGGTAATAATACAATTATTATACAGATAAAGCGTTAAAAAACATATAAGAATTGTTAGTTGAAAGCACTAAGAAATCTAAATTTATGTAATATAATGTAAACTTTCCTCCTCTTGATAACAAGCCCTTTTCATTCAAGTTCAAATGGTTGGAAATAAAATTTATTTGGTAATTATATAGAAAGATAGCGACTTTTACAGGAAAAAAAGACTTATCGGTAAGCGAAAAAACAAAAAAGTAGAAGTTTTTTATAAAAAGAGCAATTAAGAACTTCAATGTTATTAAAGTATAAATACTTATTTTATTATAGAAAAACCTTACTTTTAGGACGGTGCAGGTCTCTTCTCCTTGAAGGGCTTGCTTAGGAAGCTGATTTTCCTTACTGTTAAGATCAATATCTACTGCTACAAGACTTAAACTCTCATTCGTCAAACCTGGAGATGATGTTAACAGAGGAACGAAATCTAACAAAATATTAATTTTACTCAAAGAAGACTTGAGAGTCTAAGAAATTTTTAAAGTAAAAAAAGAATTGATATTAATAAAGAGCAAGGTAAAATTCAAAGGATTATAACTGAGATAAATAAACTGATTTAAATGATATATAAAAAATTTAATATCAAATATTTACAGAAAGAGCTAAAAATAAACTTATTAAATTAATTACTTTTGATGAAGAAATTTATTTTTTAAGATTTAAAGAGTTACTTTTGAATAAGAAATTTTATTTTTACGATTTATATAACCAGAGTTTATAGAGCTACTACTTAAACACTTCACTAAGTTAAAAGTTATAATATTTAACTCCAGGGCGTTTCTAATTATATCGTTAAGTAAGTGAAATACTCCACAACTTTTCCCGTTATGTGAAAAGAAAAAAGCTTAGTACCTTAAACGTACTTATATGATCCCGACGAATGTATTAACGATAATAGTACTTATAACACAATCATAATATTCTCTATGCGCCATATAACGTACACATTTATTATTATTAATTTTATTATTATTATTATTATTCTTAATTATAAAAGTGTACCGGAAATTTCGTTTGCTAAATGACCCGAATAACCACACTCTTCCTTTAACTCTCTAAGTGCAGCTTCTTCTTTTGTTTCACCCTCATCAACTAATCCGGCAGGGAGTTCCAGAGTGTAAGCGTCAACAGCAGGCCTGAAAATGCTCTTAAGACCAAAAACTTTACTCTAAGCTAAAATAATTACGGTCGCATTATTATGATAAATAACTTCTTGAACACCTTTTTGTTCGTTTAAGAGTTTTTTACCTGAACTGTTTAACAAGCAAAACTCTTTCCTCCTCTTGTAAATTAGCTATAATTGAAAAAATTTAGTTTTTTCACAGTTTTATTTTTATCTTATAACCTTGGCCTGAGGAAGCATTCTTCTTCAAAGTGCCCAGAATTAAAACTGCATCCAACTTATTTTCTTCATTTTTAGTCGTTCTCACGGCTCTATCCCACTTGCTTTCTCCACCTTTTTAATTAAAAATAATAAAGATAGAATTATAGCAGTAATTTCGTAACCTTTAGAATTTAGATAAGTTAAAGTCTCCAATCTCAACCAAGCTGTTTTTCCAACAACAAGAGTTTTGTTAAAAACAACTTTACACATACTTAAACCTAAAGTACTATCCGCACAGATGATTTAAAGTAAATAGAAGTTTCTTTTGCTAAATAAGCTTTTCAGTCCTGCAAGGGTTTTTAACTAAGTGTTTAGCCCCAGCTTTTCCTTTGCGGAGGATAGTGTTTTTCAGCACTAGGGCTAAACCTAGTAAAAAGCCAGAGGTGGCGTAAAAATATGGTATAAAGCCCGGAACTAATAATATGTTAACTATTTGTGTTCTTCAATATTACTACCCTTTAAACCCAAAAATATTTGCACTATTGTTAATTTTGCATGGTTTTTGTTATATTGCTTAATACAATATACTAAAAAACCGGAGTTGATTAAAAATGACCAAAAATTAGAAGGAAAAGTAATAAATTTTTAACAATTTATTGTATACCTAAAGGGAGGAGTTACATTAACAATAAAATTATATAAAATAGGTAAAGTTTCTTACTCTGTTTGTTTTTTAGCCAAATAACGTCCGTTCAACTCCCCATAAAGTAGTTAAATTATACGTGCACTATTTGCATTTAACATATGTCAAATTCGTTTAAACTCCTACTTCCACAAGTCTTAGCATCCTTTCTAGTGGATTAAACTTCTATTATCTCATAACTCTTCTTGGTCTTTACCAACTTTATCGTAAAAAAAGGCTTATACACATACAAAAAAATATTTCACTTAAAATTGTAAGGATTACTATAAAAATGCAAAAGTTGTTTAAAATGCTTTAAAAAAATTAAACATTCACAATAATAGCTATTTAAATTTATTTATGATGACAGTTTCCTGGTGCTCGATCGAATTAAATACTTCAAATGCCCGAGCTCTCAATTAGGAGTGATAGCAGATATATTACAAATAGCGTTCAGGGTGATATGATTTTTTTACATTAACAAAAAATAATCGTGCTTAAGAGCGTCACGTGGGTGACCATAACGTGCTCTATTCCACGGCTCGTAAATAAGTTCGCTCATCAGCAGACCGTAGTGTGCCTGGTGAGCCTGTCGTAAAAGAACCCGGCATGGCGTTGGAAGACAATGTTTATAGGGTCCAGCTGAATGTCCCGGTGAAGTGCATAATTTCTCACAAACAACGGCGCCTGAACACGCAGCAATTTGTTCAGTCTCACTTGAAGTGCCGGTGCTACCGCAGTGGGTTCGTAGGTTCAAGGTGCATATGCGCATGTCATTATTGGCCGGATATTAGACAAATACAATTGCCGTTTGTTTCGCATAAAGCTTACTCTTACCGCAAAGTGAAGGATAAAGCGCCTTGGTTGCTGTCTTGACCTTCGCCACTACATAGCCCACGTGAGATCGCCAGAAAATTTGTTGTCAACTATTCCCAAGTGTAATAATTCTCAAGTATTTCGCTTGAGAACAATGCGTTTTTTTGAAATTAATATTGCTTTGCTTCCACCATACTTTATAGTAACCTTCCAATCACGGCACCAGACAGCAAGGGTGCCAAGATAGCGCTGTAGATGCTTGCATAGCAAGGCCGATGACTTCGAAGAGGGATACACGGTCGTATCATCAGCGTAGAGGGTGATTCTTGCGTGTGGGTCGGAAGCCAAGGGCATGTCGCTCATGTAAATTGCAAATAAAAGGGACGAGAGAAGTGATCCCTGAGGGAGCCCTGCCCTCAGATCGAAGTGGTGACTGGGTGTCTCCCAGGAGGACGCTGAAGACGCAACCATTCAGATATGATTTGAGCAAGTTACAAAGGCCTTGAGGGACGGATAAAGAAAGCAGTGTGTGCAGCAGGCCTCATGCCTAACTTGATTAAATGTCTTTCAACATCAAGGTAGACAGCGCCTGTTGCCTTCTTAGGGTTATAGGCGCGAGTGATCCATTCAGTTCCGCGGAGGAGTTGCTGGGTCGTTGAGTGCCCTTGCCGAAACCCAAACTGAAATTCTCGTAAGACTTTCCAGTGTCATCGATCTCAATAGGACGGCGCAGTAAAACGGCCTCACCCACTTTGCCTGCCGCTGACAGTAGGCTAATGAGCCGGTAGTTGGTAGATGCTGATTCCGGTTTAAGTCTTATTAGTAACATCACAACGATCGCCGTCTTCCATCGAATTGAAAGGCGCCAAGGAGCATCGAAGATTTTAAAAGGAGGTAAAGATAGTGGATCCCTATTAATGACATTTTCTTCAGCATCTCATTAGTGATGCCATTGGGGCCAGGCGCTTTTCGTTTAGGTAGCGCTTCGATAATTGCTTGCACCTGGTCAGCATAAACCAGATAAAGTGGTTCGTAGTTAACGGGGAGGTGTAAACTCAGCTGAGGGAACGAATCATCATTAGAATATAGTGAACAGCTGGCAACGGCTTGGATAGCAAGAACATTGACAAAAAGCGTAGCTTTATTTTCATCACTCTCAACCACTATATTTCCTTCATGAAGAAGCGGTAGAGGTGTAAGCCCCCGATTTTTAATCCTTTTAGCAAATTTCCAAAAGAAGGAGCGGTTGCTGCCGCCCATTTCTGATGTACGATACAGTTTGCTTTCTAATTTATTATTAAAATGCACCATTAGCCTTTTTCTAATGCGCCTGTGAAGTCGATTAAGTGCCAGTTTGTCTTCCGCACTCTGCGACAACATAGTTACTCGAACAACATGTCCACGTTGACAGATAAGTGCCTTTAGTACGTCAGGCAGGCGATCGGGGCGGTACTTAACTTCACAAGTTGTCGTGGCAGTAATGTGAGCCATGTTCAGTGCGGTTTTGAAAAGGGCAACAGCATCATCCATCAGGGCAGGCCTGGGCAGTATTGGCGGACACGGCGGCAGCGTGGTTTCTAATGCATCAGCATATTTGTCCCAGTTCGGTAAAAATACGGGCAACAGTCTTTGACCTTCTCACTCCCTAAATATCTGGGAGGTGATCGGAGGACAGCTCGTGGGGCGTTTCATTTGCTTTAAAGAGACGTATATTTTTAAGTTTGGCAATATCCATTTGTCCATTATGCCTGTAACCGCCAAGCGTGTTGGTTGCTGAGGCCTAGCACACACATCCTGTGCTTATCAGCGTAGGTCTCAAGGATGTGGTAGCTATTTAAATGTTAGGGCGTTGTGGGAAATCTAACAGTGAATGCTTGATTTATTTTAACCCCTTATAGGTTACTGGTTAGTTTGTATACCACTTGTCGCCTAGATTCATGTTGCAAGAGTAGTTCTATGGAAATTAACCCTAAACCACAAGCTCAGTCTTTGAAACAATCCCTGGTAAGTTTGAGTATCATGTTCTAACGGATTTGGCAGCAACCAACAAAACAAAAAGTGGTAAATTTAGCTCCCAGAGCACGTGAAATAAAATCCTCTTTAAGCCGCAAAGTTTTACTCGTAAAAGGTTAACACACCCTGAATTGCACAGTTCGTTACCAAGTTAATAAAATGAAGACCAGCTGTACATTCAGTAAGAAATTTAGCTAGCATTTCAGTAGATCAGAACTGCAAAGAGACACTTTTTCTTTCCATTTACCTTTAACAAAATAGTAGTTTACATCTGTTTGGACAACCTTAGTATACTTCTATACATGCTATGTGTATTCCTTCAGTATACATATTATAGGATATATATAACTAAGAATTCACGTCCCTTTAACACGGAGTTCATCCATGTTGCCTACTTTTTCTCAGCTATTCCTATGTACTCTGCCTCGGCGAGGAAAGGGCTACCACATTAACCGACCTAGATATTCTCTCAGACTCCGGTGCGTAGATGACAGCAGAATAATTAGATTTTATTACTTACCAGTTTGTTTCTTTTAAAATAGCATACAACCGTTTTCGTGGCTTTATGTTAAATACAATAAGCTATAAGGTGTTCAGCTAGTTTAACTACTGCTAACTGAATACCAGGTCTCGAGCAGTATGCAAATACTGTAGTCACCTATAAGTTCTTATTATGGGCACTTTTTTGAATGCGCTCATCCTCTTTCGTTAGTATAGTTCTCTTAAAAAAGTTTTATGGTTTGGTCGTAAACTTAAATTGCATTTATAAAGATAAGATTCTCTTTTTTAATCTTACTACTGATAGTCTTAGATAATACTTGGCTTTCTATGGGATTATTATTGTAAACAAAAATATTATTTACTTAAACAGACACAGTAAGAGCATTATAAGACATATTTATTATAAGTTACAGCGTAAGCCTTAATTCGTTAAAACGTATTTCTTTAAATTAAGCTATAGCGTGATATACTATAAAAGACCTTATGGTTGTGTCGAGCAGAGTTCTTACAAGTTTTAGACTATTTATGAATACTATCTAATTGCTGGCAAGGGAAGTTGTGCAGCCCCGAATTTTAAATCGTGTTTAAATTAACTCCCTTTGCTGCCTGGAGCCTACCTGGTGGCCTCCCTTAAAAGTAGGGTCAAGGCTATCTGTCGTCGTAGATGATTTATCTTGGCCTTCTATTACTACTTCCTTTGAGCTTCTTTATAATACACAAAGTTTTTCGGCGCCCCGTTTGTCTTTTAGTTCCCGGTTCTACCAGTCTCTTTAAACCTTGTTATTAAAACTACGCAAATTCTAATGGTATCTAGTAAGGAAACATAAAGCATGACGCTTTTTAAATTAGAGGCCGTCTTTATAATTTATTATTTCGATAATACACTATTACGTCAAAAACAGCTAGTCACTAACTTTAAATTACTTTGCTCAAATGCTAGAATACAAATTATAAAGCATGCAGTATTATTTTATCCCCTTTTCCCAAAAACTATTTTTGTAGTTAGCTCGGCGAACCATAGCTTTATTATTGAAGCTTGCTGCTAGTAGGTTGTGTGACAGTGTATACAGAGCTGTAATGGCGTATCATACATATTAACAAACCATAATGAAGTTAATTGCATTTAAAGAATAGTCTAAAGCTTCATGAAGACACTGTTAAGAGTGAACTCTAATTTGATACCAATGCCCAGAAAAGCCCTGCGTTTTACTACATTAAGAAATTCGGCTAGGGGCTCCTTAGGTCTATATCCAAGTGAGATTTCACTGTTAAACTCTCCTCTTCATTGTGTTTAACCTT